TGGGTCCACACTTCACCCCCCTCGGAAGCATGGAAGGATGAGTCAACCTTGAGCCGGTGAGATTTGAACCACCGAACTGCAGATAGCAGTCAGCTGAAGTGGCCTGGTCAAAGTTGCAACGGCACTGGAAAAAAGTGACTGGTGACCTGTCCTCGCACTTACAACCTTCCTGGCATCCCCCACGGTCACATGAGCGAAACCTGGATGCTAAGCAACCAGTGTGTCTCTTTCAAACTTATGACCGATGCAGCATCCCCACGATGATCAAAATTCAGACGTTTCGCGAAAACGGGCCTGTTTTTCATTTTTAAAAGGCCTTGGATACGCTTTAGGAAGCTTATAGAGTGCTCCTGGAGGCGGGGCGGGTGGTGGTGATTAAAATTGAGCAACAAACAGCCCGTTTGTCACTCATTTCTGCCTTCCCCAGCTCCCAGGAGCTCTCTGAAAGCCTCCTAGAGGCTATGCACGGCCATTTTGGTGAAGGGGTTGGCAGGGTTTTGGGAGGCAAAAAATGCTGCATTCAGCCTCTTTTTTGAGGGGAAAAGGTGTGTCTTATACTGCGAAAAATACGGTAAAAGGAGAAACCCCAATTTGACAAGAGCTTGTGTTTGTGGACAAGGGAAAGAAGACGAAAGGAAAAAAAATATTTGTTTTGGGTGGGTGGTGTGTTGTTTTTTTTTTTTAACGTTATTCTCAAGTTTTGCCTGAGATTCCCAGCGCCGTCGAGGTCAAACCTGAATCGGAGGTCCGGATTCCTATTGAAACTTTTCCAGGTAAGACTTAAGGACAGGTAGGGCAGCCAAGGTGTTGAAATGGGAAAAAATGGTGATGTGTCCAGAGAAAGTGGAGCCGTACGGAATCCTTCGCTGACTATTTTGATTTCTCTGATGTAATAAAAGTCTGACGGCGAGGTAGAGGCAGATATTTCTCTCTCTGGGCACGATGAGAATATATCTTGCTGAACAAAAACTCCACATTGGCGACAGGGAAGGGCATCCAGCGAGTAAACACTCAGTTGCCCAGACTTCACCCCCGCAAGGGATTATGGGATCATGAACCGAAGATGATGATTTCATTATCACAACCAGGAGGCTGTGAGTTCAATCCTAGGTAGTTGCAGATATTTCTCTCTCTGGGCACGATGAGACTATATCTTGCTGAACAAAACTCCGCATCGGTGATGGGAAGGGCAACTGGCCAGTAAACACTCAGCTCCACTCAATTGCCCAGACTCCACCCTTGCAAAGGATTACAGGGTCATTAAAAGATGAATAAAGTCTGACGGTGATGGGAGTTCATTGGAGCTCTGTTTCTTGTATATAGGAAACTAGCATGTCCTGCCTTAACATGTTACGTGTTCCCTGAAAGTCTGGGTGACGAACGTGAGGATTTATCATCTTGTCTCATTTGAGTTTTGAGGGAACCTGGTTTAATTCTCATTTGTTCTTTCTCTCTTCCTCCAACTGAGGGGAAGAATTCAGCCTAAACCTTAGAATGATTTTGTGTCTGGAGATCACATCAAGAATTTTCTTTAAGATAATTTACCTTGTCTTGAGAATGTTTTAAAGCAAAATTAGCGTCGTAACCTCGGCCAAAAGGCCACTTTGTCTCATGTTGGCCAGCCATATATCGTGGGAGGGGGGTGGAGATGCAAAGATGACACGATACAAGTGGAGAGAAGAATCTAACATCCCTTCAACTGGCCATCTTAAGACTCTGTTCTGACCCAGCCTTAGCAGAAGCAAGAAACACTCGTCACGAAAAAAAAACCCTCTTTATTTACCTCTTGTGAATTAATGCCATTCACCCACTGAAAAGTCCAAGCAAGAATCTTGCAAAGAGTTAATAGCAGCAACAGACCTTCTCAGCTCCTTGTGATAATTGCAAGGCTGAGAGTTCCCAGCCGAAAGGCTGCAAATTAAGTTCTGGCAAGCAATCTTTGTGGCACGAAACACAATGAGCAAAATCTTCAGAAATACGAACTGTTGTCTCCTACAACAGTCACTCCCCTTTCCTTCTATTTATTTCCCAGGCAGGGAGGGGCCATTCAGCGTCCCCATGTACCTTGCTTCCCAAGTCAACTCCTTGTCCTCCGTTGTTCACCTCTCCTAACAGCTCTGCCTAGTCTTTCAACATAGTCTTCCTCAGGTCAAGGCTGGTAGGATCTTTCTTTTAGAGAAGCTGCAAACTGTGGGGAGAAAAAAACACACACACAGGCATGGCCTTCTGGTTGATGGCTCCCTCAAATGTCTCCCAGATGTGTCTTCTCCTTCTGCCTTGCTTCTTTTGTCTTTTCCCGAGTTTCTCAACAAAGCTATGGGTGAAAGAAAACCACCCAATGGAAAGCAAAGATGGGTGTCTCTACAGCTCGGTTCTAGAAGCTCCAGAAGGTGTGTTTGGTTTCTCAACTAGCTTTCACACCACCTGATGAATCAGTCCATGTTCTTTCTCTCTCTCTCTCCCCCCACCCCCCCTTCGCCCCTGCGGCTTTACAGACTGTGAATGCTATGGACACTCCAACCGGTGCAGCTTCATTGATTTCCTGAACTTGGTAACTTGCATTAGTTGCAAGCATAACACCCGGGGACAGCACTGTCAGTACTGTCGGCTTGGCTACTTCCGAAATAGCTCCGCGGAGCTGGACGACGAGAATGTGTGTGTAGGTGAGTAGCCGCGGAAGGCGCCAGAGTGGAGGAAGCCTTCTCGGATGAGAAGCGAAAGGGTCTTCAAAGGAAAAAGAGAAAGTACAGTTGCCTCTTGAAAAAAATAAAATAATAAAAGCACCAGGGTAGCTTCATATCTGCTTGGCAACGTTCCAGAGCCATGGCTGACTTCTGGTTGCATGATCAATCAATCAATCAATCAGAATAGAATTGGAAGGGACCTTGGAGGTCTTCCAGTCCAACCGCCTGTTCAAGCAGGAGACCCTATAACCATTTCAGACAGGTGACTGTCCAGTCTTTTCTTCAAAACCTCCAGCAATGAAGTACCCACAACTTCTGGAGGCAAGTCGTTCCACTGGTTAATTGTCCTCACTGTTAGGAAATTCCTTTTTAATTCCAGATTGCTTCTCGCCTTGATTAGTTTCCATCCATGATTTCTAGTCTTGCCCTCTGGTGCTTTGGAGAATAAGTTGACTTCCTAGTCTTTGTGGCAGCCCCTCAAATATTGGAAGACTGCTTTCAGAATAATAGAGTAACAGAGTTGGAAGGGACCTCAGAGGTCTTCTAGTCCAGCCCCTGCTCAGACAGAAGGGTGAGGTAGGATGGTGAGTACACATTATCCAAAACTTAGGAAGAGGATGTCCAGAGTTGCTCCCCAGTCTCATCACCGTCAAAATTAGGGAGGACTTCCTCCTCGTTTCCCCTGCCTAGATCTGACTTCCCCGCAATCTTGTTTCTTCCAGATTGCAACTGCAACCGAGTTGGCTCGCTGGCTAACCGTTGTAACGAGACCGGCTATTGCGAATGCAAAGATGCGGGCGTGACAGGGCCGAAATGCGACGATTGTCTGCCCGGCTACTACTGGAGGCAAGGTTGCTTACGTAAGTATATCCCCCCCACTTTCTGAAGGGAGATGTGGGAATTGGATTTGCTGGATCTGAATCCGGTCCAATTGAAACCAGGAGGCCCGAAGGCAGCGTTTCTCAAGCTTGGTGATTTTTTTAAGACATGTGGACTTCAACTCCCAGAATTCCCCTGCCAGCAGGCTTTTAAGATGAGTGGAGTTGAAATCCATGCATCCTAAAGCAAGCTGGCTGGGGAATTCTGGGAGAAGTCCATATACATTAAAGTAAGCTGGCTGGGGAATTCTGGGAGTTGAAGTCCATGCATCCTAAAGCAATGTGGCTGGGGAACTCTGGGAGTTGAAGTTCATACATCCTAAAGTAAGCTGGCTGGGGAATTCTGGGAGTTGAAGTCCATACATCTTAAAGCAAGCTGGCTGGGGAATTCTGGGAGTTGAAATCCACATACCTTAAAACATACTGGCTAGGGAATTCTGGGGCTTGAAGTCCATTCGCCTTAAGGGGGAATTCTGGGGCTTGAAGTCCACTCATCTTAAAGTCACCAAGGTTGAGAGATATTGTCTTTGAACCCATCCATAACCGTCTCTCATTCCCGACTCCATGGGACTCGGTTCTCCCTCTCCACCCTGGCTCCCGACTCCTAGCACTTCCAACGCCTCCCTCTCTCCACAGCCAACGTCTGTGACGACGAACTCTTGATTTGCCAAAACGGAGGGACGTGTTACGAGAACCAGCGGTGTCTCTGCCCGCCGGGCACAAAGGGCATCCTGTGCGAACAAACTAAGTGCGAAGGGGAAGACACAGAGTGCGACTCGGTCTCCACGACGTATCTCAGCCTTTCCGCTTTGGTGGCCAGCGCGGTGAGCTTACACATGCAACAACTCTTGGACCTCTGAAGGACAAAGGAGGAAAGCGTTCAAAATCCCAGGCTGGAGCGGAAGCGAGAAAGGACTGGGACAGCCTGAAAATGTTGGGAGCTCAGAAGAACCATCATCCAGCCGAGAAGGTGTCTCTTGGTCCTTGTTGGCCGAGCGTTGAAGGATTCAACAGAAGTTCTTGAAGAATGACAGATCTTAGGTTGGACATAAGTTGGAGGAACATACAGATACCACCTGTTATGAGGTCCACCAAGCCAGGAAAGGATGCCTCAACAGGACTTGGAGGGGGGGGGGGAATTGCAAAGTGTTTTGCCATTTTCCAACTACCTTTTCGAGTGAGAAATTGTCCAGTGGTCTCCTTGGGACAGGGGTAGCTTCCAAAAAGGGGTGGGTTTGGGGGCAAAACGCCGTCAATTATCTTGCGTTTATGTTGCACTGTTCTTTCTCTTCCAAATATCTTCTTCCTTTGGGCCAGATTTTTTTAGGAAGATCTTTAGGAAATCGGTTAAACGGAGGCTGGCAGGTACAAAATTGGGGGGGGGGGAAGGAACTTTATGGGGCCTTTCTCCTCTTTTGCTCAGGCCTCAAAGGATAACGTGGCCTAAAAAAATCAAGTTGCGGAATT